GGTGAGGGGTGGTAATGATTTCTCACTTTCTCTCTCTTTGTCTCTCTCTGTCCTTCTGGCGAATGCATGCACAAAAATCTTTCATTAAAAATTAAAAACAAACAAACAAAAAATAAAAATCAAAAACAAAAACAAAAATCCCTTTCTGGTGCTAGCCCCTTACCCTGGTGTTTAAGGGAGTTGATTCCATGTGGTCAACTGTGGTTTGAGTCCCAGACCCTGTGGCTTGAAAAACATACTGGGTCCTTGTGCATGAGCCTCAAATCTCTACAGAACAGAGAAATGGAGGAGAAGGGATTGTGGCATAACCACATCCACTGTGGAGTACTTTCTCTCTTTCTCTGTCATTGTCTCTGACTCTGGTGAGTGCACATGTCCCATGGCAATTAAATATATATATATATATATATCAGGGCTATCAGGTGATATAGTGCTGGACTCCCACATGGATGACAACAGTTCGAATCCCAGATCTGGTGACTTGCTTTCTATCTTTCTCTCTCTCTCACGAGCACATGTGTCCCCATAGCAGGTTAAAATATAATAATAATAAATGAAATTAAATAATTCTAAAGAAATTCTCTACTGGCTTTCCTTTAAAAAAAAATACATATATATGAGACCATCAGTTGGCATAATGGCTATGTCACTGGACTCTCATGTAGCTGAGCGTGGTTTAAATCCCAGACCTGGTGGCTTAAACTCACGTCAGGCATGTGTGCTTGCGTGCCTGAGATCCCGAGAGGAGAATGGAGGAGAAGGGATTGCAGCGCAGCCATCCCCCCAGGGGGTGATTTCCCACTTTCTGTCTCTCTGTCTCTCTCTGTCTTTCTGGCGAGTGCACATGCCCTATAGCGAAAACCTCTCCAAAATAAAATACATACCGGGCGTGTGTGTGTGTGTGTGTGTGTGTGTGTATTTATATATATATCCTTCTCATAAAATAAATTCCAGGGCCAGATGATCATACTTATGAATTCAATCGAACATTTAAAATGAAATTCTATATTGTACATAAATTCTTTCTAAAACCAGAGGAGTCTGAAATACTTCCTATTAATTTTATGTGACTAGGATAACTCTAACACCAAAACCTTACAGAGAGATCACAGAAAAAGTAAATTCTTTCTTTCTTTTTTTTTTCTTTAGAGGTTTTTTGCTATAGGGCACATGCGCTTGCCAGAAAGACAGAGAGAGACAGAAGACAGAGAGAAAGAAAGTGAGAAATCACCCCCCCTCCCCCCAGGGGGATGGCCACTCTCCAATCCCTTCTTCATTTTCCTCTCAGGATCTTGGGCACACACGCACATGCACCTGTAGTGAGTTTAAGCCACCAGGTCCGGGACTCGAACCGCGGTCGACTACATGGGAGTCCAGCAACATAGCCATGACACTAACTGCTGGTCCCAGTAAATTCTTATTAACTACCTGTAATGGACAAATAAGTAAAAACTACTTAAAAATGATTATGGTAGAATTCTTTCGATTCTGCTATGAAATTTTTTATAATACATGTTGGGAGAAAAAATTATGTGGATGATCAACTAATCAGAAATTTTCCAGGGTCTAGTGAGTCAGTTATAGTTTTAGACCACTTAAAATTCATTACCCACTTAATAGTAAAGAAAAAAAAATGCTTCAAATTAGAAATAAAAGAAATTACCTTAATGTGATAAAAGTAATCTTAAAAAACCAACTAATATTACATTTAATGGGATGCATTCCCTAAGATCAGGAATAATTTAAGGATAGCAACTCTTATTATGTGTATCCCATATTGAACAAAAGACATTAAGAAAGTGAATGGGCAAGACACAGAAGAGCAGAAAATATTTGTGGAAAAATACATAACAAAGGAAAAGTATCCAGATCATACAGAGTTTCTACAATTCAATAATAAAACTATGAAGTGCCTGATTAGGTACTTCATTTGGGCAAAATGGGCAAAGTATTGTGTGCTTATGTGAGGGCATGCACATGTATGGTGGGGTTTTTTAGGTAGGAACTTGCTACATTGTAATACTCCTATCTCTGCCTCTGTAGAAGGTAGGGCCAAAGATGTGTGCCACTGTGCCCAGTTTTTTAGGGTGTGCTACAAATCAAACGTGGGCCTCCCTTGTGGTCTCAACCTGTTGAGCAGCAGTGTCTAGCATATACTAGTATGACTGGGTCAAAGTTATTGTAATATACATTTTATAGAAGAAGACATATAAATGTCCAGTCAACAAAAGAACAATAAATCAACATCATTAGTCAACTGAGAAATGCAAATTAAAATCACAGTAAAATACAATTACACACAAGAGAATGACATCAATTAAATGACTGGTGATATCAATAGTTAGAGAAGATGTGAAACAAGCAGAAACCTCTTACAATCAGAAATGGTGTCACCATTTGTAAATGGTAATACGATTTCTTATAAAACTAGATATATATGTACCCTATAACCCACAATTCCAACCCTAGTTGTTTACCCAACACAAATTAAAAGTCACTTGCATAGAATATTAATAGCAGCTATATTCATAATTCTACAAACTAGAGACCCTAGATTTTAATCATCATAATAATGGCTTAACAAATCAATGTATTCATACAATGAAATACTATTCAACAATGAGCTGGAAAGAATTATGGATATGTGCATGTACCAACTTGGATGAATCTTTAAAACACTACACTGAGTGAAAGGAGCATAGTGTTTCTAGACAAAGGATGCATATTGCATGATTCTATTTACCTGATATCCTAGCACAAGTAAATCTAAAAGTCTAATGAATATTGCAGAAAAATCAGAACAAGGGTTACCTCCAGAGTAGTGGGGATAGCAAAAGACTATAAAGAAATAAAACAGGTCTAGTCATGGTCAATGGTAGAATCTAGGTTGATTGATATTGAGGTGTTCATGGTAGTCTTTTTTTCAATTCTGTAAAATTTGTCATAATACATGGTAGGGGGAAAAAACTCTGAGTGGATAATCAAGTAATCATAAATTTTCCAGAGTCAGGGGGCCAGCAGGTGGTGTGGTGGTCAAGGGCGCTAGACTCCCACATGGCCAACCGTGGTTCGAGTCCTGGATATGGTGGCTTGCATGCTCTCTCACTCTCACTCTCTCTTTCTCTGTTTCTCTTTGACCAAATTAAAATGAATAAATAAAGTTAAATAATTATTTTAAAAAAGAAATT